ATAATCCATATAAACATACCTGCTTGTCTGCTTGGCTCAGTCCATCCATCCATGTCATAGCATGTATCAGAGCTTCATTTCTCTTAGTGGTTGACTAATACGCCATTGTACGGATATGCCACATTTCATTTATCCATTCATCAGTTGATAGACATTTGGATTTGGGTTATTTCCACTTTTTGGCTATTATGAATAATACTGCCATGAACATTTGTGTACAGGTTTTTATATGGACATATGTTTTCTTTCTCTTAGATATATTCCTAGATGTGGAATTGCTGAGTCATGTGGTAAGTGTATAACATTTGGAGCATCTGCCAGACCGCTTTCCAAAGCGGCTGCACCGTTCCCGCCAGTAGTGTATGTAGTCTCCTGCTGTCCTTGTTAGCCCAGCTCAAATGTCCCCTCCCACAAAGCCTTAATGGCGTCTCCCCAGAAGAATGGGCCATACCCTCTCCATCCTTCTGTTGCTCCTAGCCTTGACTTCTGCTTTAGCCAGCAAGGGCCCTGACACATGGTGGGTTGCTGCTGGGGACAGCATTATTCCCCTCCCAGTATGTACACGTTTGTAAGGTGACTTTGTAGCTCCTCCCATTAAGAGGTGGAGTCTATTCCTCCACTCCTAACTGGCCTTCCTGCTTCTCAACTTGACTCTCTCCTTCCAGTCCATTCTTCTCACTGCAGTCAGTGACCTTTCTCATATACAAGTCTGATCGTGTCACTGCTTAAAATCCTTCAGTGGTTTTCCATTATCGGGAAGAAGTCCATTTGCTGTTGCCTCTGCTTGGAGGATAACTTCCTTTCCGCCCTTTTGGCTATCTTCTGCTCCACTTTTTAGCTTCTCTAGGGAACATTCCCTGACCCCACTGCTCCAAGACGGAATTAGCGTCCCTCCTGGGTATGGCCAAAGTATGGTGAGCTAACCTTTATCACGGCACTTTTCACACTGTTTCTGCAGCTGTCTCCACTGCTAGACCAAGCAACTGGAGGGGCCCCAGGGGCTTGGCACAAAGTGGGGCTCAATGAGTATTTGTGGACTGACTTAACATCCCACCTGTGTTGTGATTGTTTCCCTGCCCGAGCAAGCATCTTGAGGGCTGAGGACTAACTCATGCCACTCTGTGTCACTACCATGCATGTGTGGCACGTGAGTGTGTGGTATACGGGACGGGGATGGTGACTTTTGCTGTAGTTAGAGGTTCCCAGGCTGGACAGGAGAGAGTGAACGGAGCTTATAGTTAAATACATAAAATGTGCTCTCACACGGCCTCTCTCCACGTTAACACCAACAGAACAGGAAGAGTAAAAGCAAACTGACAGTAGCCCAGAGTCACCTAAAGGAGCCAACTGGTTGAATGAAATGGATTCCAGATTCATTTTCCCCTGTAGCTGTTATTGTTAAAACATTGTTGTCTCAGATATTTCAAAGGGAGAAAAAAGTCTTTGGTTGTCTCACCCTTGACAAAGCCTTTTTCAGTTCAACTTTCTGTATGTAGTAGCAATTTTTAATGGAAGGTTGTAAAAACTCCCAGGATTGTCTGTCTCAGTGATTCACTGTCTGGATGCATCAGATCACCTCTGAGTTCTGATTTGGTAAATCTGGTCTTTTTTAAATCACATCTGATGCTTGAATCCTTATAATCTGTTCTTGAATACCTCCAGGGATGGGGAGCTCACTACTTACAATGCAGCACTTTCCAATTCTGGACAAAAATCAGGAGCTTACTTTATATATTGAGGTCCCTGTGTGGTACAAATGGTTAAGTGCTCAACTACTAGCCAAAAAGTTGGCAATTTGAACCTACCTAGAAACCCTGGTGGCATAGTGGTTAAGAGCTACGGCTGCGAACCAAGAGGTCGGTCGGCAGTTCGAATCCAGCAGGTGTTCCTTGGAAACTCCATAGAGCAGTTCTACTCTGTTGTATAGGGTCGCTGTAAGTTGGAATTGACTCAATGGCAATGGGTTACAGGTTAGGTTTTTTAGAGGCACCTTGGAAGACAGGCTTGGCATTCTGCTTCCAAAAGGTCACAGCCTTGAAAACCCTGTGGAGCATAGTTCAACTCTGACATACATGGGGTTGCAAGGAGTCAGAATCTATGGCAACACCACCACCCTTACACTGAGCTGAAATCTGTCTCCCTGGAACTTGACCCTTGGTGCTAGTTTTCCCCTGGGGAGTATAACTGCCTTTGCTTTTTTCTATATGCAAATCCTTCAGCTTTGTAAAGGTGGGTCATGTCTGCCCGTCCCCTCACCTTCCTAGTGCTTTCTCCTGGATAGACCCCCCCCCGTTCTCACAGCTGTTCTCACAGGGAATGGTCTCCAGGCCTAGCTAGTTCTCTTTGTAATCTCATTCAAGTGTAGAACACCAAATGGGCCCATTCACCATGGCTGGGCCTGCCCAATCTGAAGGAGAGTGGGCCTATCCTTTCCCCTCATCTAGCTATTATTTCTTTTGATGTGTCCTGAGAGCATTTTGGGGGTCCTGGTGGTGCAGTGGTTAAGAGCTCGGCTGCTAACCACCAGCTGCTCCTTGGAAACCCTATTGGACAGTTCTACTCTATCCTATAGGGTCGCTATGAGTCAAAATCGACTTGATGGCAATGGTTTTTTTTTTTTTTTTTGAGATCATTTTTAATTCACAATTTGCACCGTTGACTTAAGGTGAACTTGTTAACAGTTAACCAAAGCCCACATGTCTTTCTTACATGAACTTTTGTAAATCAGTCCTCATCCGCCATAAATTAAAGGAATTGGCTTGTATAATTAGCACTTTAGATTTGTCTCTTCCTATTAGATTTTCTCTTTTGGTTCCAAGCTTCCATTTCTTTCTAAATGGCAAGCTAGGCCCAGAAAGGAGTCCCTGAGTAGTGCAAATAGTTAAGTGCTTGGCTGCTAACTGAAAGGTTGGAGGTTCAAGTGTACCCAGAGGCACCTTGAAAAGAAAGGCCTGGCAATCTACTTCTGAAAAATCAGCTACTGGAAGCCCTATGGAGCACAGTTCTACTTCTGACACACATGGGGTCCCCAAGAGTCAGAATCGACTTGACATCTGGTTTTTGTTTTTTAAGGCACAGAAGAGGTAGTTCTAACAGCCCCTTCTCTGAGGAAGTGCAGTTAGGCCAGGAAGAACATAGTTATCCACTGCTGTTTCCCAGCTCAGGGAGACGGGATAAGTACCTGTTGGTCAGTTTTTGATCTTTTCACTAGAAAACAAACAGCAAGATTACTCTAGCATCTCCAGGAAACAGGCAAGATGGCAGGTTAAAAGACCAGTTAGCACCTGACGCCGAGGGTGCCCTGGTCTGAGTCAGTGAGTCTGATGGCTCCAGGGCCAGACGATGGGCCCTGGGCCGGCTCCACATGCATGCTTGGTCACTAAGGAGCAGTGCAGACAATGCCGTCTGTGTTTCTAACCAAACCCTAACTGCTTCCGTTTATTCTGCACACTGCGCCCCCAACGTTGTGCTGAGCACACTGCCTACAAGGTCTCATTAAATCCCTGCAGCATCCCAGCTGTGAAATCTGATTTAGTGACCCTGGTGGTCTGGATGCATTGGATTCAGCTGGGAATGCTTTGGGGAAAAAAAAAAAAAACAAAAACAAAACAAAACAAAACTCAGGCTGTATCACCAGAGATTTTGATTCAGGAGGAATGGAGTCAGAAAACTTGCCTTTTTCAAAAGATTTCCCAGTGACCCAATGCACAGCTATGCTGGGAGCTACAGTTTTAGTTCGTGGCTTACATACCTCACTTGATCACTTGCTCCCGGAGAAGAGAGCTTGGGTCTGATTCGTCTTCCTCCCTCTAGAGCTTGGTGCAGGGGAGGGCCTCAAATGAACGTTCAGGTGGAAGAAAGTAGCCTGGTGCCCTGATGGACTGACCAGGGAGAGAGACTGGCCCAGTGGGACTGTGCTCACAGAGGCATGGGGACAGCACTGTGAAATAATCACTGGCTGCCTAGCCAAGCAGAGACCCTGGGCACTTCTGGAAATGCAGCCTAATTTTACTAGCCTTCATCTCATTGTTATTCACAAAAAGCCAAGTTTTCAGACACAGATTTAGTTAAGAAAAATGCTACTGGACAATGTACTTTTTAAACACT